AAAGCCCAGCTGTACTTGCAATCCTTCACCAACGCCTTCAAGTCTTCCATCCCAAGCAGAAAATTATACATAGCAGTAAGCTGCCGGGAGATGTGCAAGATGAATTGAAGGTTGATACAACAGTAATTGCTGCGTACATCGCTATGTGGAAGGTGGTGGTACTTAATTATCATTCAGCAATTACCTTGTTTTAGAGAAAAAGCTTATATTTATGCAAGTTTCCAAAACTTACAAAAGAAAAAAGATTACCTTTTTCCTCAAAAGAATTTGATTTTGAATTAGGATATATAAAAATACCATAACACTCTCGCTGGTATGAAGCTTCTTTCGTAATGGCTTCGGATTTTTCCTCCTCTTTTATTAGAGATGTTACAACCAATGTCACTCGTCTCATTCACTCTAACTACACGTACAGTTATCTATGTATCAGACATAAGTATGAAATCTTTGGGGTTCCTTCTTTCTTCTTCTTCTTCATCTCTAATCCTGCTTTGTTGCTTTTATATATAGCATCTCTCTGATCAGACATTTTCTCTTCTCATGTTCTCCCGACTTAATATTTTTCCTATTGGGAAAGACTTGCTGAATACAATTAATTAATTTGAAGCTTCTTTGCGGTATTAATTTTTGAAAATGGAAGCTATAAGGACCATAACCTTATTCTTCCCTAAGTTCTTGGCAAAATGCAAATGGCATTTAAAACAGGGAAAATAAATTGAAAGGTATTTAAATATCACAGGCTTGGTAAAGAGAGGCCTCATATAGGCACTCAGCTTTGTTTAGCAATATGCTCCTCTAGTCCTTAATGTAAAACCTAATTAACTAATTTGAGTAAATTAAAAATGTTAGTTAAATTAGTTAATATATCTTCTTTAATTTCCCCCCTCTCTCTCCTACTTGATTATTGTTAGGAGAATATCAATAGAGTTAATTTGAAAAAAATGATAAAGTTCCAAAATAGATCTTCTATATAGGATCAACATCAACTCTATGATTAACTTCTATATTAAGGACTGGAGGAACATATGGTAAACTACATATAATTATTGATTGAAAGGTAAATTTTACGCAATCATGTTAATAATGAAATTCTAATATGCAAACAACATATTTATTTAATAGCGATGGAAAAAACATTAGGCTATTTCGCGTGATGTTGGGGGTACAGAATAGTGATAGTGGGTATATTTCTTGCTTTTCATCAGCGAGATTCTTTTTAAAAAATCGAAGGAATCTTTATGCCATGTAAAAAAGAAAGACATGCTTCAAACTCATATATATAACAGAGAGATCAAACGCCGAAAGTAATCTCGTATAGGGAGGGAGGGGTGGGCAGAAAGAGGACATGAGCATCTGGCATGAAAACATGAAATAATCTCACATGATACTCTTTTAGTCATTAATATAAGACTTATTTAACTAATTTGATTAAATTAAAAAAGTCAGGTAAGTAGTTAATTATAAGAAATATGACATGTTTTTTTTTTCAAAACACCATAATCATTTTCCTTAATATCCTTCCTCTCTCTCCTACTTGATAATAATTGAGGGAGTGTTAATGGGGATAATTTAGAAAAAATTAATAAATATGAAAAATAGGTTTTATATTTAGAACCAAAATCAACTCACTAATTGGATCCTATATTAAGGACTGATGAGTATATTGGTTGCCTTTATCACACAAGGATTCTTGAAGAAGCAGGAAGGGGCGCAATTCTGACATATGTACAATATTCTAACTTCCAAATTTTAGTTATCCTCAGCCAAAAGTCTATGAAACAAATAAACTTGCATGAAACAAATCTAACATATAGATAATGGGAAGTTGGCATGTTGTTCACTTTGTATTGATATTGAAAAATTAGAACTCAGTGCAGAAATATGAACAAGACTATGAAAAAGCTGTCATGCATAACATCTTCGATGGAGTTAAAGTTATTGTCAAAGAAAATCAAAATGTTAATAAGGAATCTACTCACATCATTTGATGTTTGTAACATTCAAATTGGCATTCTTCAACTTTGCACCCAGAGACACAAGGAATCAATTTTATTTGTGTGTGCGTGTGCGAGCGAGTGTGTTTCTGGAGAAGATAAAGGGTGATGGTGAGTTACCTATGAAAAGAAATCATTGGATTCTTCTTCGTTTAGCAGAAAATATTTCGGCTTCCTCATTACTCACAGATACGCACGTTCACTGATGATCTGCGCCATTCTTCGACATCTTCCTCGCTTATCACACGCCACCCACACTTGCTTATCACAAATTTACTCTGACTTTGCAAACCAACTTTCCCAAACCCTTGTACTTTCTCTGTGCACTTATATTTTTGCGTATAAAAGATGAATTCGATCAGGCCACAGTCAACTACTCTGAAATTACTCCCAGGCAAATGAATCATCAGCATTTGATTGGGATTGTTTCCCATGGCAATTGTCCATGACAATTCCTTTTTGAAGAATTTATCTTGTGAAGCTTTATAAGTCAGCTGAAGAATTCGAGAGAACACATCTCCACCACATAAAGGAAGGTCTAGATCTTGCAGAACAATGCAAAGAGAAATTCCCCACCTTATACTTGAACCACAAAGATGAGAGACGTCTACTTTTATTGACACAATGGAATCAGACGGTACAAAACCACCAATCACATTGGGATGATAATGATCAAGATCTTTACATGAGATTTCTCTCTTGGAAATTTGAAAACCATCAACTTCATGAAGAAATTGCACATTTTGACTATGGAACCAAGATGGGATGTCAGTCTCCAGCGTCCACCAAACCTTGAAATCCATGTTATGCAAAATCGTTGATGGAAAAGATTTTGAAAAATCATTAGTAGTTGTAATCAAAACTGATAGAAATTCTGAAAGAGATAGTGGTTGCATTGAATGACAAGCTATTGTGTCTATCTGCTCTAGATTCGGCGGAAGATCTGGCAAGTATTTGAGCTTTCGGCAATAACTCAAATGAAGATGAGATAGAAGTGAAAGATTAGCAACACAACCAGCAGGAAGATGGGTAAATTCATTGTTATGTAGACTAAGTTTCCTCAATGATGATAAGCAATTAAGGTTCTCAGGAATTGACCCATCATGGAGATTGCAAGAAGATAAGCCCAAAGACTTCAATGAGGAAAGACGTGAGAATGAGGGAGGAAGAACGCAACTGCCCTCAGGTAGGTTGCTAAAATCATTCCCACTAAAATCAAGGACCTCCAATGATGGTAAGCAGCCAAGATCATTTGGAATTGACCCCCCTTCGAGATTGCAACTTCTCATAATCAACTTCTTCAGTGATGCTAGACGTGCGATGAAAGAAGGAAAAACCAATCCAGCGGGAGCTTCACGAATACCATACCCAAATGCCCTTCGAACTGGGGAAAGCAAGCTCCTTATTAATGAATTGGATGTTGAACTTAGACCATTACATCTATTCAAATATAGCATCTTCAAATTTTGAAGGCTAACGATCGATAAAGGTATTTCTCTTATAGCAGTTCTACTCAAATCAAGCTCCTCTAAACACTCATTTTCATCAATATTTTGCGGTAATGAGGAAAATTTTGAGCAACCCAACATATTGAGAACTTTCATGGATTTCAAATTACAAGTGGAACTTGGAAGACAAACAAGGGTTTCGCAATTTTCCACGTCAAGAAACAACAAGTTGGTCATATTTTTCCCAAATTCTGGAAGCTTTTTAAGTTTTAAGCAGCCAGAAAGTATCAATGTCTTTAGTGAATTCATTTCCATTCTACTCGGACGAACTTTAAGATTCTTGCAATCTTCCAAATCCACTAGAACAAGTTTGGTATGTTGTCCAAGTGATGGGTGAACTCCAGAAAGTTTAACGCAACCTTTAAGAATTAGTTGCTCAAGATTGGGCAGCATCGAGAAATCAGGCGTTCTTGTGAATTCTTCTGAGTAGCTTAAATCAATAAACTTCAACTTTTTTGACATCTGCCCCAAAAAAAATGGACGAGTAAATGGACTTACTTTCAAAAAAAGATTAAGCTATTATTCATAAGGCGATAAAAAAAGTTCTTACTTGTGTTCTCCCCCAACGAAGTTGTATGATCTTGCTATGATGCGTTTTCAGGAGCACAAGTTCATCAAGATGGGCAACACAGGGCAAAGAATTCAAAGGATAAGCTTTCCGCTCAAGAATTTTCAGTGAACTGGGAAGAAATTTGAGACCTCGAGGAAGACACACATCACATAATATGATGAGTATTGTGAGGCTCCGCATCATAGAGAATGCTTCAGGGTCCCAATTCGCTTCATATGGCATAGGTGATTGAAGATGTATAAGTTCAACCAAATCAGTGCCCTACAAAAAAAAAAAACAGTTTAAATATTGTAAATTACAGCAAAGTTGAATGCATTTCTCAATGGAAGCTCCTTACTTTGTTTTTTGTCATCACATGATCAATATCTTCCAGCGACCATAGCCTGCTACGTCTGCCAACATCTTTACGCGATTCCTCTATAACAATACTTCTGCCCATTTTTTGAAGGATATCGTGCATACCCAGATAACATGCACCATCATTACTAAGATTTTCTGTCAACAAGCATTTCTCAACAAGTTCTCTTATTCCAAGTGTTGGATAAAGATCACCACATATTTCAAATATTTCTGTCACTTGGTCTTCGACCATTCCTTTAAAACAAGAAGCAACATCTAAAAATATTTTCTTCTCCGTATCACTTAATGCATTATAACTGATTCTAAGCCTCTTTAGAATATTGCTTGGTGGAGACTTCTTGATTTTCTCCAAACCTTCTTTCCATTCAAGTTCACTTCTTCCACAAAAATATGAACCCAACACTTCAAGAGTTAAAGGAAGGCCTTGAGCATGGCGGATGATGTCTTCACACAACTTCCAATAACCTTCTAGAGGTTGATCCCTTTTAAAAGCATTCTTACAAAAGAGCTGTAGAGACTCATCATTGTTTAACAATTTAGCCTCATAAATTTCAAGTTCTCCATGCTCTATCCATACACGCATATATTTTTAGTCGTCACAATTGCTCTACTCCCAGGACCCAGCCAACCCTGCCTTATACAAAGGTCCTCTAGTTGGTTTATTTCACTTATATCATCCAAGACAACTAGAACTTTTTTGTTGCATAGCAGGTTTCTTATTATATTCTTTCCATCATATGTATCATCAACTTCCATGCCTTGGATCTTGAGTTTGGAGAGAAGTTTCCTTTGCAAAGCAACCAACCCCTTGGCTTCAGAGCTTTCTTTCATATCAGCAAGAAAACAACTGAGGTCAAATTGGTGAAAAATTCTATCATAGACAATCCTCGCAAGAGTTGTCTTTCCAATACCAGGCATTCCCCATATTCCTATTAAGCGAACATCACAAAATCCAATCTTTAAAAGTGAAGTCACTTCTAGCACTCTTGATTCAATGCCGATGAGCTCATTGTTGCAACAATATGGTAATTTAGGTTGTAACTTTGCCCATACTGCTACTGTAATTTCTTCAGTGACTTTTGCTTCATGCCTGCACATAGAAAGGAATACTCAAACGGTTATTTTCTATGTCCTAAACAAATAACTACCTAGCTACCACTAGGGCAAACTCATGTTTTCATGATTTTCTGAACTTGGTGATCCAGACAGGAAAAATAAAGATATGGCAGAGTTCTAAAGTGGCAGCGTATCAAGAACATCTATAGAAGAACGATAACATGAAAAGAAGTAACAGAGAGAGAGAGAGATGATTTGGCAAGACTTAATTTGGCAATAACTATGAAAATGTTCCCTATTGAATGAAGAGGGAACAATTTTCAAGTGCAGCCATAGGTAGAAATGGAAATAGGTTAGGTTAGACTAGACTTTAGCTAAATAAGCTTGAGCCTACAACAAAGATCTAAACGTTGAGCCTAGACTTGAGTTTGTATATAGGTCTTTTCAAAGCCCCAAGCCTGAGCCTTCTAAAAGCCTGAAGCCTTTTTAAATGTTTACTTAAAATATAGGCCTTTAAATAGGCTTAAAAGCTTATGTTCCCAAATTTTCTTATACAACCCTTCAAGCTTATTTAAAAGCTTACATTATGTCTTAAAAGCTTATTTAAAAGCCTACATTATGTCTTCAAAGTGCTATAAATTCATAGTAGTTTAGCCTGAAACTGCTATAAATATTATGCTCTGTAGTAGTTTTTTCATACCACTACAATGTAGCTGCTGCAAACATGTAGATTTTTTGTAGTGTAACAAGAGTTGTTTGAGTAAGTAGGAATAAGAAAAATTCAACCAATTTGTGGACTAAGGAGATACATTTCCTAAAATAATCCAAGCATAACAAGTGACATGTCAAACTGGATTTTACTTCTTCACTTTTTTGTATAAATTGGGACAAATTCCTCCTATTGAAATTATACTATTTTATTTGGGTGTCACTAGAATAAACTTACAATACAACACTTATTATGCTTTAACAAAGGACGCAAATCGAGAGAGGGGGAATGAGCTAGTATTGCAATCTTGAGCAACCGAAGAGAAGAGACATAGATGTGAATGGCAAACAAATGAAAAGGTTGAGCTTGTGTGTGAATAATAAGATGTGAAATTTAGGGCTAAGGTCATGTAAGTAATTTTTTAAATAATTTACAAAAGGATTATTATGCGATTTTAACAATTAATTTTTGGGTGAAAAGCGTCTAGGGGTGCAAAAATAGATATGAATAATTAAGTTTTGCTTGAAGGGTGTTTGGTACCAATAATGTTTATGTTTAATTTGGCACCCTCAAAACCCATTAGTGTCAGATACTCTTCGTACGTAGCTTAATGGTTAAAATTGCACTTTAACCTTTTATAAAATTCATTTAAATTATATTATATAATGATATACAATAGTAAAAGTTATTAAAAAAAACTCTCAATAAAATAAACTTACAACAATTATTATACTTTAACAAAGGATGGAAATCAAGAGAGTGGAGTAAGCTAGTGTTGCCATCTTGAGCAATTGAAGAGAAGAGACATGATGAATGACATATGAATGAAAAGGTTGAACTCGTGTGTAAATAATGAGATGTGAAACTTAGGGTTAAGGTCAAGTAAATAATTTTATAAACAATTTATAAAATTGATTTAAATTGTATTGCAATAGTAAATTATAAAAAATCCCTAAATAGGTCAGGTTTGTAGGCTTATAAGCTAGGCTTTTATAAAAATAGATTTGGTCTATTTAATTACCTAAATAGGTCTGGCAATAGGCCTACCCTAGCATATTTACGAAATAGATTAGGCTAGTTTCTAAGTATGTTAGGCCATAGGTTCTGAAACGGCCTTGCCCAGTGCAAGTTGCTCATATTTTTAAGGACACAGTTTTTTTTTTTTTGGGTTGGACTGAAGGTTTAAGGATATAATTTGACACTGTGCATCAATGCCATTTGGAAAACTCAGCCCAATTCATTAAATGAGAGAGAATGAAGCTAATATTGACCATATTAGGATATAATATAAAATTGTTGGATTCTACGCTTCGCACCGCCCATGCTATTATCCTCAAAACGGCTGAGTTCATGTAATTAAAAAAACGTAGATTATTAATTGACTAATAATCAATTAAAATACTCTGATATTCAATTTTGAAATTTGATTTCAAACTTTGAATTTAAACGCATGGTAATTAGTTTACTTGGAGTATTATGAAAGATTAAAAACAACTGACAAGATTTAACTATCAAGAAAAACATTTGTATGGTGTCTTTCTAGGACCCCCCCCCCAAAAAAAAAGAAGCACGTTTGCACAAACGTACTCGGATTGGTGTAATTGCTGTGAAACTATAATTGAATTGAAGCAGAAAATATGATTTCAATCAATAGCATAGAATAAAAGTTTTGAGAAAGATCTGTACTAGACAGAATCACCAAAAGTTATGAGCTTTTTGACACCACTGTATCAAAATTTTTTCAACAATAATATTACTTCCGCCGATCGTGAATATAAGAATTAGTAGAGATATTTGTTTTAATCCTAAATATATACTTCATTTCACAACGTCTATCAAATTTGTAATTTTTGTTCTAAACTCTCTCGATTAATTATACATATTAGCGGGATTTTACATTAAAGGAGTAGTTTTCAATACAAATAATTTATAAAAAAACATACTTTTGGGAAACAAACACAAATCTTTAGTAAGTAATTAACTTAGTTGTCCTTTTAATTTTTACAAATTAGTTATCTAATTTTATATTTAGGACTAAAGAAAGTTTTTTTTTTTTTATTTTTGTTGCCAGCAACTACTGAAGAAAGTATCATAACTGCTAATTCTACGCTGACTTGTTAAAAGGCCTATCATAACAATGCTATACAAAACTTACTGATCCGTAGAGTCAAAGCCAGATATATTTGCAACTTCTTCTAAGGCATCTTTCCATCTTTGCAGCTTCTCTTCGTTTTCAGAAAATCTCTCAGCATGTTCTTTTGAAAGGCACGAGCAAAGGAACCTCTTTGATAACGCACATCAGATGGAGGAACCTTATAGAAGATTGAGATAACTTCTCGACCCAAAGATCTTTTAGATTGAAGAATCCTTTCAAGTTCATCCAAACACCAACTGGAAGAAGCATAACTTTGGGAGAGAACAACAAGAGAGATGAGAGATTCATCAATTGCTTGGAGGAGTTGATCAGAAATAACCCCTCCTCTGTTGAGATTATTGTCTATGAAAGTTATGATACCCCTTTGTTTCAGAGCAGCGTGTAAGTGGTCTGTGAAGCCTTCTCGGGTGTCTTCCCCCCTGAAGCTTAAGAAAACATGGTACTTCCATGGTGGGATTGTGGAGTTCATGAAGGAAGAAAGCCAGAAACCTTCAGCAATAGGATCTATTTGAAAGGACTTTGGATTGATATAAGAAAAGGGAAGGAGAAACCGAAGTAGAAAAGACAGACTATTATTAAACTTGCATCTTTGATCTCACATTGGTCGATAATTATGGGGGTAGCATTCATTAGATATGTATACTTGCTTTTGCTTGAAACTTTCAACATTTTGTATCATGGGATGATGAATGTGATTGCGAAATCATCTTTTAATATTGTATGCTAGTGAAGTAATCAGAAGTTGCCGCGCTTTTTTTTTTTTTTTCAATTTAAATTTCGCTGGCAATCATTGTCGATCAGAAATTAAAAATAGAAAGTTGAGGCCCTTAATAGTTCTTTCATTTTTTTGATAAAAAGATTAATTATATAAAATGAAGAAAATTATACAACTAAGATGGGTAATAAAGAGTTTGGGGAGGGGAGAACTAATAAGATATCACTTTTGTAAAAGCAGTGACTAGAAAAATATTGAAATACGATGTTAGCATCTTTTCCCATGATGCCACTGAAATGAGGACGACCAAGTAGATCATTATGCAAATTCTTTTTTTAAGATACAATATTAATATGATTCAAGGATGTAGAGAATTTCATAGCTACTTGGGTAACGCAATAGAAAAGTTGTCTCAAACTAGAGGTACAGAAAAGACGAGGATCAAAAGATTGTTTGTAGTTTCATCGGCCTGAAGGTTTGAATATTTCATCATGACCAAGGAAAAAGTAGTAGCAACACAATGGAGACATCATAGAAGAAGGTGGAGAAATTAAATAAAATGGACCAAAAGGATGGGAAACGAGGGGTGCTTTTCTTCTAAATTTAATCTCAATTACTAATGTGCGTTTAATTTTTATACCAATGCAAGATTGATCTTATTCTCATAAATATACATGCATACTTATACACATATATGTGTTTATATTATAATAGTCATTTATTAGTTAGATTGTTTCACGCTTTAATTATATATAAATATTATTGGACGAACAAACGGGAATAAATTTAATTCATATTTCAATGACTGAGATTGCAATTAAAGGAAAAGTGTATAATGCTTTGATTTACAGGAAACCATATCAAATAGCAGCATCAAACAGGAACTGTAAATCATACTCTTCCGGTCCTAAATATAAGATTTATTTTATAGTATAATGCAACACTTAACTCTCTTATATACTAATTGGGTTAATATAAAGATTATGAACCGCTTTTCCAGGTTGGCACTACCAAAAAAAAAAGGGAATTAGTGATGGAATTTAGTCCATCACTAATCCATCACTAAAATTAGTAACAAAATTTATTGATGGAAAAATTTCGTCATTAAAGTAGTGACAAAATTAGTGACAGAATTTTATCTCGTCACTAAATTAGTGTTAGATTAGTGATAGAATTTTATTCTATCACTAATTCCATCACAAATTTGTCGCTGATTTGATTTTAAATTATTAGTACCCATCACAAAGTATCTTGTGATGGAATTAGTGACGGAGTTTTTCAGCCATTAATTTCCGTCACAAAAAATATAATGTAAATATATAATAATTATTTTTTAAACTTATTATTAAAATAAAATATATATGTCATAATTTTAAATAATATATTATGTAAAATAAAAAGAAATATTATAAAAGAAAATAAAATTAAAGATATATAATATACTTATTATTTCATTAAATATTTGAATAAAAATATAAATTATTAGAAATCTTTTACCAAAATACAAGATTAAATTCAAATGAATAATAATATATTAAATTATATAATATATATTAAATTATGTATATAATATTTATTATGTATATTTGTATTTGTTATTAGAAATATTATATATATTTATTTTTGCATAAAAATTTTGAAGGTATTTTTCAGCTCAACTGGCAAAGGCTTTAGTATGTGTGCAAGAGGACTCAAGTTCAAACTAGCACTGCTTCACAAATTGGCTCAATTTGTAACGTGATGATGATGTGGACAAGGTGATGAGGTGGCGGCTCATGATGATGAACACGTGATGATGACATGGCTGCATGGGAGAGTCGAGGAGTTGAGGTGGTGACCGATGATGAAGTGGAGGATCACAATGATGGACACGTAACAATGGTGTGGACGAAGAGATGAGATGACAACATGGGGGAGAGAGATTGGCAAGGCGTCATCCATTGAGGACGTGGTAGCTCACAATGATGGACACGTGGTGATAACGTGGACACTAGGATGACATGGTTGCATGGGAGAGTGGAGGAGTTATGTGCTAACTGGTGATGATGTGGAGGATCACAATGATGAACATGTAGTGATGACATGGATGAAGAGATGACATGGCAACATGGGGGAGAGAGAGGAATTGGTAAGGTGGCATCCACTGATAACGTGGCAGTTCACAATGATAGACACGTGGTAATGATGTGGATGAGGGGATGATGTGACTGCATGGAAGAGTGGAGGATCGAGGTGGCGAGCGGTGATGACATGTGGTGATGACGTGGACAAAGAGATGACATGGCAATATGGGAGAAAGAGAGGAGTTGGTGAGGTGGCAGCCACTGATGACGTGGTAGCTCACAATGATAGACACACGGTAATGATGTGAATGAGGGGATGACGTGGCGGCCTAGGAGAGATAGGAGAATGCGAGGTGACTAGTGAGGGTCACTGACATGACATGCGGTGGCAATCAGTAATTTCTATGTTGTATTTTAAATTTACGAAATAAAAAAAATCTGGCAACAGATTAGTGACGGAAATTTTCCTCACCAATTTGTGATTGTATTTTCCATCAAAAATCCATCACTATTTTATGACAAAATTTTTGTGGGATATTAGTCACTAATTAGCAACGGATTAGGGCCGGAAATTTTTCGTCACTAATTTCCACCGCTAATTCGTTAGTAATCCGTCACTAATTAGTGACTGAAATTTAAATTTCATTACTAAATAATTAGTAACGGAAAAAATTCCATCGCTAAAAAAATTCCGTCATTAATTCGTTGCTAGTTTTGATTAGTGACAGAAATTCCCTAATTTTATTTTTTTTCCTTTTTTGCAGTGTGGATAGATATCAGAAAAAGAAAGAAGAGAGTGAATTAGAAAAGACGGAGTATTATTAAACCTGCATCTTCGATCTCACATTGGTCAACGATTATGGGGGCAGCTTTAGATACAGATACTTGCTTGAAACTTTCAACGTTTTTTTTTTTTTTTTAATCATGGGATGATGAGTGTGATTGCGAAGTCACCTTTTAAAAAATGACGTGGTGGCCATCAGTAGTTGCTAGTGAAATAAGCAGAAGTTGCTGGTTTTTTTTTTTTTCCAAATTAAATTTCGCTGTAAATCGGTGTCGATCAGCAGTTAAAAATAGAAAGTCGGGCCCCTTCTCAGTTTTCGATTTTTTTTTTTTGATAAAAGGTCTATGGTATAAAATGAAGAAAATTATACAACTAGACAGATAATAGAGTTTGGGGAGTGGAGAACTAATAAGACATCAGTTTTGTAGAAACGGTGAGTAGGAAAATATCGAAGCAGCATGTTAACGTCTTTTTCTAAGATGTCACCGAAATCAAAACGATCAAGTAGATCATTGTGCAAATTTTTTTTTTTTTGGTAAGAGACAATCTTAATATGATGTTATGATCACAGAGAAGTATATGAATAGCAGAAGATAAAACTCCTATTAATGATTGAGCTCAACATACATCTCAGCCATAATCATCATATCAGCATTTATCGAAAAGAAACGGTGCAGGAAATATAAGAGAATGATAACAAAATACAGAGCGGAAATGCAGAAGGGAGAAAGAGCCAGGGGCAGAGAACCACAGAGACGAAGAGATTCCAAAATGCTAATCACACACCCACTCATAACGGTATTTGTCTTATTATATAGAATCCTCTAATTCCCTCAGCTTCCCGGTCTTACGTCGCGCCCTCTGACTCTTCCTTCTAGATCCTTGTATGCTCATTGGGCCATGGGCCCCAGATGGATCCTGTACTCGTGTGGGGTCGTCTGGACCCTTGTGCATGACATATGATTTAAAGATGTAGAAAATGTCAAAGCTACTTGGGTGACCCAACATAATAGCAGTCTCAAACAAGGGATATAGAGAAGACGAGGATCAGAATATTGTAGTTTTATCTGCTTGAAGGTATGAATTTCATCCTGACTAAGGAAAGCAGTAGCAGCACAAGAGGGACATCCCAGAAAAAAGTGGACAAATTAAATATAATGGACAAAAAGATGGGAAAATACGGGTGCTTATTCTCTAAACTTAATCTCGATTACTAATTTACGTTAATTTATATATCAATGCAAGATTGATCTTATCCTCATAAATATACATACCTACAGACATACATATGGACATTTATGTGTGCATATTATAATAGTCATTTACTAATTATATTGTTTTACTCCTTAATTATAGATAAATGTTATTGGAAGAACAAATGGGAATAAATTTAATTCATATTCAATGACTGAGATTGAAATTAAAGGAAAAATGTATAATGCTTTAATTTACGGCAAACCATATGAAATCACAGTATCAGCAACTGTGAAAAGTTTGTGCAGTTCGAACTGGAAATTACATGATTTCGGACAAAAGGTGTTGGCAGCAGCACCAAAATTCTCCAAGATCTAGCAGATCTTCCACCTCCTCTATAATGCTAGGCAAACCCTGTTGACAGCAACACCTGCAGAGAACAGTAAATCTGAGTCGTGTCTTACAGACACTGTCCTTAAGAGCTATTCCGCAACTACTGGCAAAGCAAGAAGCGGCACTCTCCAGGATTAAACGGATTCTTCCTGTAAGAACAGGGTGAGCAAAACAGCAAAAGGTAAAAGAACTCAGTAAGGCAGAACACTAGAGGAGGGAAGAGAGTTGCCAGAAAGCTCAAAGCACGGCGGTCCCCCTTTGAACTTCCGTCTCATGCCCCTTTTATAGGCTACGGATCACAATATCATTGGGCACATTTAAACGCGCTTAATGATAATTAACTCATAATTAAATGAGTGGTTTCAAGTAGTAATTAACTTGTTTAATGACTATTTAAGGAGAATAAAGTCTTCGGTTACGAACATTGAAGAGGCATAATTATAATTAAAATTTAGATAGATATTTCCAATAAAGTACCCAGTACTGCATTTGACTCGTGCACAAGGGGATGAGGGGAAATTGCCGGATTTGTCTCCGGTGGCCCATTGTGCGTGTAAGTCCACTCCTCCTCTTGGCCCATTTGGTAGCCCAAGACCACTTATTACTTGGACCCTCACAATCCCAAGCAATGTGGGACTCTTCCTTTGACACACCCATACATAATATTTACAACAAAAGGTACATTATAATGGACTACAGTTTAGAATATTTCTAGGACGGCAATCAGATAAAATATAATTATTTCTCATTCGCATGTTGACATTGTTAATCCTTTCTAAGAAAGGGAAACTATTTCTCAAAGAAAATTAAATGCATGTCGCTAGGGGATCAGCGTACTTCATTTTGAAGACAAGTTTGCATCATTCTGAAAATAGCATTCTTCAACTTTGCACCCTGAAACACAAGGAAATCAAGGAATATTTGCAAGACAAAAAATCTCCGACCAACAAACCTAACTAAAAAGACAGAAAGGTGCAAGACATGCTTCCTATCATTTGAGTCCATCATTGTAATATTTTCTAAGGAAACTTCTTGTCTGATTTTTGTTTTTCGTTTTACTTGTGACAATGCATATATGTTTGATAAATGAATAACACCATCCCAAACACTACCTGTTTATATATATTCACGACATCATGAAATGAATTATCAAACAAATGAACCATATTGTGGGTGCGCAAGCATAGATCAACACAAGGCCAACAAATCACAATCAAGAACATTAAAATGCTGTCACAGCACTAAATTAAAATCTAATCAAAAGTTTCACTGAGTTAAATCACACACACACAATCATTTTCTAAGTGCATATGTGCATTGTAACTTGAATTAATACAAGGTATCATTATACAAGTTTCAAGGTAAGAAGAAAATAAAGGGGGCTTCTATAGTGATTATTACCAATCAAGAAAACCAGTTAAATTTTCTCCATCGAGCTGAATAAGTTTCAGTTTCCACATCACTGACAGTGACTTCTCCTTGCTGATCTTCCCCTTCATGATATCTCTTTTTTCCATGAACAGATTCTCGGGACAGGATTTCATTGTTTTTACTGGTATTGCTGCATTGTTGGATTGTTCTGAGCCATTCTTCTACATCTTCCTTTCGTGTCACTCGCCAGCCACACTTGCTCATTATAAACTTGCCATGATCTCCAAAGTCAGCTTCCACATTCAATTCTGATTCCTTGTCCGCGCGCATAATTCTTGTAACATAAAATGACTTCAACCGTGTTGCAACCAACTGCAAAATTGCCGGAAGGCAAATACATGATCAAACATTGATGGGAATGGCCTTCAAAAGAAACACGCCGTCTTATCTCTTCTTTGAAGAATTCATCTTCTAAAGCTTTACAAGTCATCTTAATGTAAAAACGATCAAACAGTATAGTACATCATCAAGGTTCATATCTTGAAGAATAACGCAAAGAGAAATTCCCCAGCTTTCCCTTGGACCCCAAAAATCAGTGATATCTGCTTCCATTGACATGAGATTTCTTCCTGATAAGTTCGAGCAACATGGTTATCTGGAAACCCATCAATTTTGTGAAGAACTTGAAAGCCTTGATTGTGGAACCATGATGGGATTTCATTTCCTAGAATCCACCAGATGTCAAATCGCATGTTATTTGCGTGCATATATACGAGTAAAAGATTCCACAGAACCGTTTGCAAAAGCAATGCACTTCAATAGGAGCTATGGAAATAACAAAGATTGCACTGAATGACAACCCACGGTATCTATAGTCATAAATTTGGTGGAAGATTTGGCAAGAACTTAAGCCTTGGGCAGTGACTCAAATGAAGACTATCAAGATGCAAGAGGTTAGAATACAACAAGCAGGTATATGCGTAAAATTATTTCCTGTCAGACCAAGATATTCAAATGCTGATAAACTATTTAGGTCATTAGGAATTGAACCATCATTGAGATTAGAATTACAAATGTACAAATGCGTCAATGATGAAACACGTGAGATGAAGGAGGAAGGACACAGTGACAGGTAGATGCATCGCCAAAAATCATTCTCATTTAGACTAAGTATTTCCAATGATGTTAAACAACCAAGTTCATCTAAAATTGATCCAACTTCAGGTCGCGGTCATCTAAATGCTGTTGCTTCAAAGATACTAGACTTGAGATGTAAGAAAGGGACAAGAAGCTTATGGAGCTTCATTATAAAACCCAAATATCTCTTGAACTGAGGAAAACAAGCTGCTTACCCATGAATTGGATCTTGAACTAGACCTTTACATCCTTTCAAATATAGTAGCTTCAAACTTCGCAGGCCAACGATGGATTGAAGGTATTTCCCTTATAGCATTTTTCACTTAGATCCACTCCTCTAAACATTATTTTCATCAATATTTTGTGGTAACGAGGAAAATTTTGAGCAACCTAAAATATTGATAACTTTTAGGGATTTTAAATTACGAGTGGAACTTGGAAGACAAACAAGATTTTTGCGATTTTCACATCAAGAACCGACAGGTTGGTCATATTTTTTCCAAATTCTGGAAGCTTTTTTAACTTTAAGGCAACCAGAAAGGATCAATTTCTTCACTGAATCCATTTCGATTCTACTTGGAAGAGCCTTAATATTCTTGCAATCTTCAAATCCAGTAGAACAAGTTTCTTTTGTTGTCCAAGTGATGGGGTTGTAACAATCTTGAAATTTATTATAATAATAATAAATAGATGGGTTAATATTATTTTTATTGTTTATCACTGCTTGCCGAGAATCATGTGGTCTGATGGCTTTGGAAGTGGCTGATGTATTTGAGGTTTGTTTTCAGTACACTTGAAATTACTTGAATACTCTTGTAAATTTTATTTAAATGGAAAGAAAAGCATAACATTTTTCTCCGGATGCTTTTCATTTTCAGAGAGAAAGAGGGAAGACAGGAGAAGCAGCTCCTAAAACCAAACCCTAACCCTTTCCTCTCTTTTTTTTCCCACCGCATCTTCCCCCGTTCTTGGATGTTCGTGGACCGCCATCAGGGTGTGTGGGGTTTTAAGAGCTTCTATTTTTTCCATCGCTTCTTCCATTTAATATCTTGTTTTTTGCGTCTCTTTCCCTACTCGGCATGGCATCTTCTTCCTCCTCCTCTATTCCTTTTCTTCTTCTGCATTGTGGTGTTACGGTTGGGGATTATAGCCTAGGTCTAGGTAAGTTTCACTCCCCTTTTGCTTTGCTTTTGAAAATGGGATATTGTGGCTGTATTGGATAGTGATAAATACTTAGTATATTGTGACTATCATGGTGTGTAAAGGAGTTGAAATTGTAGACCCAAATGCTTGGAAAACTTGCTTATGTATTATTGCACATAAAATGACTGTAAAAATGTCTACAGAGGATTTGCCTTGGAATTTGGTGAATCTGTTTGATAGCTGAAATTCTGAATGCAAGAGTAAAAAATAGTGACTATTGGCATTGTTTTATGGTCATCTAAAGTGAGATTAGATAAGGTTATTGATATTTATGAATTGAGTTTCATGTTGGGGCTGAGTGGAGTGCTAATGTTTACAAGTTTGTTATTTCTACATTGAATTTGGAAAAGAAGAAGAAGAGAGGTTTATTAGGAACATTTAATAAAGATGTTACTTTGAATGGATTATATTGTTATGAGGAATTCTTGCTTAGATTTGAGTGGAAGTATTAATATTTTGATTTTGGGTTATTAGGGAATTGAGTAAAATTAACTCAGAGCTTTATAAATTGAAACAGGTAATACACTGGCGAGTACGACAGGTCGTCGGTGAATAGCATCCCATTGTTATAGTTTTTTTTTAAATGAGGTTTTACTATTTATTGTTAAATTAGTTAAATTATCAACCTATTATTTAAATAGTTTATCAAGGTGGATTGATTTAGATTTTATTTTTTCAATGTTACTTATCAAGTGCTAAAAACTTTTGCTTCTTGAAAGAATACCTATGATTTTATATATGAACAAAGGTGTTACTTATGTCACATCCCCAGAATTTTCATCTAGTTATAGGGAATCAAAAATTAGGATGAGGGTCAACGTGGAACTAGATAGGAAAATAAAACAACTTTTGATGTAAAACCCCCGATAAGGTCCGGGCTGCTATTTCCGTAATTATTGGTTTAGGAAGGGCAAATGGGAAAATTTGAGAAAAATTTTGAAATTCCCCAAAAAAAATGAAAAAATTATAGAGTAGAGGTTTTAAAAACTCAGTTGAGGCCCAAAATATGGAATTTCGGTGAAAATGATTTATTATAGAACTTCCCGTAAACTGAGGTTTTTTCAGGAAAATATTAGAAAATCAGAGGAAAATGATTATTTTAATTAGTTGAGGCCTCAATAAATTTGGAAGATTGATGGATAATTCACTTAAATATTTATTTGAATTTATAAAATTATTTTTGGGCCTTAAAAGCTCAGAAATTAATTTTAGGGGATTTATTTTCCCGCAATGACACCGATAGAGACCTACCGGAGAAAATTCAAAATAAATACCCAGAGTGGCAAAAAAATTCTGAAAATTTCCAGATCATGCTCCCATATTAAAATGTGAATTATCATGGAGAGAAATGAATTTTTAAAGGTCTGGAAAATTATAAAAGGTTACTAGTGAATAGTAACTGATTAAAGTTCAAATTGGTTTGAGATAGTGATTTGGTTTGTGGGACAGTTTTTTGGGCCTTCCCAAACCATTTGTGGGACCTACAATGGGCCCAAGAAGGACCCAAATTTGTGCACTTTCAGATCCTCCATTTTTACTAAATAAAAAGTGGAAAATAAGGGATAAATGGTTGGAAATATCTAGTAAAGGGACGCTTGTTCAAATCTTAATATTTTCCACACTTGATGACTGCCACATACACCTTATTAGGTGTCCAATTTTGGCCAATTGAAGAGGGAAGGGGCACACTTGAATTTTCTATATATACCCCTTAGAAAATACATTAAAAATGTTAGAAAATTAGGGAAATAAGGGGAGACTCTGTCACTGTTTATCCAGCCACCTTGTTCAAAAATCTTGAGGTTTTTTAGGTAAGAAATCATCCAACATACACCAAGGAAGCATTAAGATATGTCTAAGCATCATTCTTGCTAAGTTTCACATTCATTAAATAAGGATTTTTGCTTGGGAAAATGCTGAAAAAATGCTGGAAAATTCTGAAATTTTTGGTTGAATGTGTGATTCTTAGGAAAGGATAGAAACCTTAATAACCAAGTGGAATAAGGAAGATTAAGTGGTGTATAGATTGATTTTTGGATGAAATCAAGATTAGGGTTAAGGGGGAAGCAATTCGGTCAGCACTGTTCATGCAGAAGCAATTTTGATTTTGCTTGATTTGATGATTTCAATGGCTTTAAAAACATGTTTTTGCGTAGGGATATGTTTTTGGGAGTGTTTAAAATCATTGGAATCAAAAATAGAATTTTAAAGTTAAAAACCTCCTATTCGGCCAAGAGGAATTCATGGAAAGAAGTGTGAGTTTTAAAAATATGATTGCACCATTGGATTACTCATAAAAAATTGTGTAGGATTGAGTCATGAGATGATTGATTCTAAAGGAGGAATCATTTTGTTAAAAATCAAAGAAAAAAAGGGGAAAATTGTTAAGTTAATGTTCAAGTGTTGGAATCAAGTTGTTTAGTGATTAATGTAGCCTATGTTTATGCTTGGTTTAATAGGCATTGAGAGGAGGAATTAAGGAGAAGCATTGGTTCTTGGAGGAAGTAATGGACAGCTTTACAAAGGTAGCTTTGAATTATAGTTTGATTGTTTATCTTGCTTGTTTGTTGTGATTGTTATTGCTTGGATTGGAGGAACTCTGTGGTGACCTTGATTATTTGATTGACATTGGTTATGCTTTGTGGTTTGTCAATATAGATAATATGATGTTCCTCTCCTTGCATGATATTTGGAATAAATTCCTATGAGTTGGGAGTGGTTGGATTGCATGACATGTCACAATTAAATTTGCATTGATTTACATGATAATTATAATTCATATGCTACTAAGTTTTCTTTGAAATCTCACCCCTCCTATGTCATTTTATGCACTAATTAGGAAGTGGACCAAGCATGGAGCAAGGGAAAGAATTGGCCTTGGAATGAAATGGTTTTATGAATATTATGTTATGTTAGAAACTTTTATCAAGTGTACTAAACTTTATGTTGATCTTATGATAAGTTATGGATGATATTTTGATGTAAATTATATTGTTATTCCATGTTCCAATGTTGGAATTATGCTTGATGCATTGTGGAAAGAATGTGAATAAAGGAAAAAGAGGAAATAAATAAAGAAAGTGGTAATTGGGGGTAGAAATTTCCTAAAAAGTGCCAATTTGTGGTGCATAAAATAATGAGCAATTGTTGGAGTTTGGGTATGAAATTTTATAGGAAAATAGATCTCATTTTAACTTTAAAAAAATAGTAATTCATTAAATTTGGAGTTGTATGCTAAGAGTTATGCCTCTCAAAATGGGCAAAAATACTGAAATTTAAAAATTACCAAATGAACAGTATACTTTTGACGAATTTCCTGGAATTATTCTGGATGGAATTGGACCTAATGATTATTTTTCCTATTCTCAGCAAGCTCACGTGAAAATTGGAACCACATCATTTCGATTTTTCTAGATTTAGTTATGAATTTTCAAAGTTGGCTATTTTTTGGATGAACATTGTACTGACAGGGTGAATAGTACAATTCTGAAATTTAAAATTTTTCATCTGGAAATATTAAAACGACTTACATTCGTTTCAATTAACGTATAATGGGATATAAAGAGAGATGTGACAACTTACAATTGGATTCTATGCATTTTGTTTTTGGTAAATATTTATGCTTGAGGGTTTCAAAAAAAAGTTTTGAAAATGCTACTTGAAAATCCTCATATTGGGATCATTTGCTATAAAATATTCTTTAAAGGATTTCATTATTAGAAAATAATATATATTCACCATTTATCAATGATAAATTGATTCTATGCATGCTTGTGCACCTTTTGAGAGTATTGATTGCAGAATGCTGGTTACTAACAGTAGTACCGTTAGTCTTTGGCACATCGTGATAATTTCAAGCTTGCTTGTTATTCCTTGGCATCATTTCCATGCTTGTTTCATGGCCTCAGCTGCACTTGATTTGTTACTTACTCTCATGAACTGTCTGTTCATGTTTGTACCTGTGGATTCAGTCTGTGCTTGCTATTTCGTTCTATGGAGTCCTATACAAAGATAAGGTTTGAAAATTTTCATTTTCTATTATTTCTGTATAACAAGTTGTTTTGTTATGAATTTGGATTCATTAGCTTAATGAGCTTGAATATACATTTCTCTTGTAAATTATGATTGTATATTATAAAACTTTAATTCTTTGCCATATTATACTTTGAATTTAAATTTTTTATTCATTCTTTTAGTATTTTATTTAATTTTATAAATAAGATGTTATTCACCGGTAGATTATTTTCACTTCAGATAACACCGTGGACCCTGTAACTCCAGCTGAGTAGTGAAGAGCCTCATTGAAGATCCAGAACCTGTAAATCTATTTTGAGTAGTTGTTAACTAATGTAAAGTCAAAAGTACACTTGTGTATTTGTTATTACAGTTAAATACTCCACGTAATCTATAATTAGGTTTTAGTCTCTTGGGATATTTTGGATACATATTTATTTATATTCCTAAGGGGGGGGGGAGCTCCAAATGCTGTTTGAAACTTACAGACTGTTGTAGAATCTTTGGGAAGTCCGATTTATAGCAAAGACTTCACCGAAATTTCTACAAATGGTTTCATATTTTGGGATATATGATTTATGTATATTACATATATGTTTTTGGTTAGTGAGATACCTGGTTCATAAATAAAAGAAATCTTTTAAATAATTGTTTGCATATGAGAGGGCTCAGGAATGTGAGAACTCTCACATTCCGTGCCGATTACCTTCGAAAATTGGAGCATGACATGGGTGAATTTCAATGAGTTTTACGCAAACTTCAAGAATTAGTTGCTCAATGTTGGGTAGCATCAAGAAATCAGTAGTTCTTATGAAATCTTTAGAAACAGCTTAAATCAATGAACTTTAGCTTTTTTGACAGCTGCCCCCAAAAAATGAAGGTGTAAACGGGTTAGCTTTCGTTAAAAAATAAATTGAGCCATATTTCATAAGGAAAAACGACAAAAATTCTACTTGTGTTTCTGAAAGTTGTATGATCTTGCTCTGATACATTCTAAGAAGCACAATATCACCAAAATGAGCACTATAGGGCAAAGATTTCAAAGGATAAGCTTTCTAACCAAGAATTTTTAATGAGGTGGGAAGAAATTTGAGTCCTTGAGTAAGGTGCACATCACATAATGTGATGAGTATTCTGAAGCTACACATCATAGAGAATGCTTCAGGGTCCAAAGTCGCTTCTTATGGCATAGGTGATCGGAGATGCATAACTTCTACCAAATGAGTGCCCTACAAAGCAAAATATATATATATATATATATATATATATATTCAATGTTATATTGTAACAAAGGATGAGGAATGATAATGATCAATACAAAATTTAAATCACAGAAAACTTCAATGCATACTTTGCTTTTTGACATCACATGATCAATATATAGCTTCCAATGACCATAACCTGCTATGTCTGCCAGCATCATTAGGTGATTTCTCCACAACAATACTTCCGCCCATACTTTGAAGGATATCATGCATACCCAAACGACATGCACCATCATTATTATAATATTCTTTTAACAAGCATTTCCCAACATGTTCTCTTATTCCAAATGTTGGATAAAGATCACCACAAATTTCAAATATAAAATTATTAAAATTTATCCATATATAACCTAATCACAACAAATATTTTTATTTTTGTTTCTTTTTTTATAGAATGATTATATTTAGATAAATATTTATTACACACACACACACATATATCACTGCTCATTGAGAATGCCAGTGATTTTTTTAATGAATTTTAGTCCCATGGTACCATTTCAAAACTCCTTTCAATTAAAAGTGATTTTAAGATTTATAAATTATTATTGTATTTTTGTTAATTTAATTCTGTAATACGCAATAGATATTTTAATCATCTTTCAATTTTACAGACAAATAAAAATTATTTTTTCATAAAAAATCGGCATTCGATTTAAAATTTTCAACTTCTTGTTTTTAAGTTTGTTTTATGTTTTTATTTTGAAAGTTCAGTTTTTAAAAGATGATTTTATATTATGCACTAAATATATGTGTGTGTGGGTGTGCTTTTCATAAAAAAAGTAAAACAAAAACGCAAAACAAACTAAAAATAAAGGAAAAATTTTAATTAAATCCCTCAGGCTTACGCGGCTGCGCCTCCATTGAATTTTTTCGCTGTAGAGGAGCATTTTGGTCTTTAGACAATATTAAAAAATTCTTAATAAGACTTGTTGGCCAAATTAGAAATTTCTCAAAAGTATAGGCTTGGGTTTAAACTTTAATATTTCAAATGAATTTAATTGGGATTCTCCCAGTTTATATTTGTCCTAAACTCTCTCTCTAGTAATTATAGGTATTAATGAGATTTTTCATCAAAGAGTAGTTCTTAATACAAATAATTAAAAAAAAGGTATTTTTAGCAAACAAACATGCGTTTTTAATAAATAAATGATCTTTTTAATTTTTACAAATTAGTTATCTAATTTTTATATTTTTATATTTAGGACTAACGAACGTTTTTCTTTTGGCCAACAACTACTGGAGAAAGTATCGAAGTAACTACTAATTCTACGCTGAGTTGTTAAAAACAATACTATACAAAACTTACTGATCCGTAGGGTCAAAGCCAGATATATTTGCAACTTCTTCTTTTTTTCCTTTTTTTTTTTGGTGAATATATATATATATATATATATATATATATTTGCAACTTCTTCTAAGGCGTCTTTCCATCTTTGCAGCTTCTCTTCGTTTCCAGCAAATCTCTCAGCATTCTGTTGAAGGGCATGAGCAAAGGTACCTCTTTGATGACGCACATCAGATGGATGAACCTTATAGGAGATTGGGACGACTTCTCTACCCAAAATCTTTTAGAGTCAAGAATCCTTTTAAGTTCATCAAAACACCACCTGGAAGAAACATAACTCCGAGTGAGAACAACAAGAGAGATCAGAGATTCATCAATTGCTTGGAGGAGTTGATCAGAAATGACCTCTCCTCCATTGAGCTTATCATCTAAGAAAGTTATGATACCCTTTTGTTTTAGAGCAGCATGTAAGTGGTCTGTGAGGCCTTTCCGGGTGTCTTCTCCCCTGAAGCTCGAGAAAACATGGTACTTCCATGGTGGGATTGTAGAGTTCATGGAAGATGAAAGTCAGATTGCTTCAGAAATAGGAAGAACTGTGGATAGATATCAGAAAATGGAAGGAAAGAGTGAAATAGAAAAGATGGAGATTCATTAGACTTGCAATTTTCGATCTCATCACTTTGGTCAACGATTAAATTTGTCTCCTTTGGAGAGTGATTGCGAAACCACCTTTTAATATTGTATGCTAGTAAAATAATAACAAGTTGCCGTTTTTTCTATTTTGATTTCGCTGTAAATCAGTGGCGTTCAGAAATAATAAAAAATAAAAAAATTGAAAGTCGAGGCCCTTCTTAGTTAGTGAAGCTGAATGTCATATCATATCATATTTTAATAAAAAGTGGAGAAATTAAATATAATGCACAAAAAGATGGGAAACTACGGGTGCTTTCCACTAAATTTAATCTCAATTACCAATGTCGTAATAGTCACTTATTAGTTAGATTTTTTATTCTTTAATTATATATAAATATTATTGGACGAACAAATGGAGAGTAAGTTTAATTAATATTTCAATTCAATGAATGGGAATATTAGAGGAGAAGTATATAATACTTCCTTTCGTTCAGGGAAAGCATACGAAATCAGAGTATCAATAAATTTTGAAAAGTTGTCCAGTTCGAACTGTAAATTATATGATACAGGAGAAAAAGTACATTTGGGCTACAGTTTAGAAAAATTAATTCGAACAATACTTATGTCTAGCCGCATCAGATAATGGAGGGAAAAAGAAAAATTAATGTCCATCTGCATCACAACATATTCTTCAGCACTTCAAAACAGCCAAAAACACAAATCACTGCGAAGTGCTCCAACAAAATTGGCACCATCAAGCTTCGGACCTCCCAACTGCTGAGTGAAACGTGTTACAAAAGAGAATGCATATATATTAGCTTCTTTTGCAGGGATATGTATTGGACAAATTTCTCAGTACCATGGACAAATGAAGGCAACAAGAAACCCGGAACATATAATCTTATAATTTGTGAAAGTATATTGTAATACCTATCCCTTATATACTAGTAGAATTATTCTATTTAATCACGATCCATTAAAAGCCAGGTTTCAATCCTGGGAATTATATATATATATAATTTTATTTCTATCCGGACCCTTCGAATCCTAAGATTAAATCAACTATAGCCAATAGGGTTTAACATTTGACACCCTGGCCATTGACTCACACGACGAGATACATAATTAGATACACATAATTTTAGGCCAAATAATAATTATATCAAAAAATTTGACCATCTCCTTCAATAGCAGTCATTATGATCTATCTGCCCTTAGTCATCTCCTTATGGAGGAATATTTACATACCAAAATAGATATAGAATATATATCTTTACTCCAAAATAAGATGCATTTTAAGCAAAATATATATGTACAAATGATCGCCAGCTTCTTGCACCTTTAAACTCCACCGATCACTACTCCCTTGCCCTTAAGAGTACTTGCTCTTGCTGTATTACATGGAAGAAGGGTTGAGATTCTAAAGAATCTCAGTAGTAACAAATTTCCCTCACGTAATCATACAAGATCACAAACAACATGCTACACAGGCCAAAGAGAACAACACCTTGCATCCAAGTATAATCAATGATGCATGTACACCATACACTCATATAACTAATCGCTATCTATCGCGCCCACATTCCAAAATAAATGGAAACCAGTGCATATTGTCATGACAAATATTATTATGCAAATGCAACTTACATGTTCTCATGCACAATCAGCATAAGGGCACATCCAAGCATGTGGCAATCAATGCACAATCACATTAAAGGAAAAGAGTTACTACCTTTTGCTTTTTCTTCCGTACTAACTTCCCCTTACTTCTTCCTTGGCTCCCTTCTTAATGGACTTGAACAAATATCAAATCCTATAAATTATATAGGTAAGGGCAAATTAATATTTATATATATATAGATCATTTATTCCTAGGCTTCAAAAATAAATCAACAACCCAATAAACTTCGAATCAGATTTTGGTTCTCAAATTCAACAATTCCTCCTTTTATTAAAATTCCAGATTTAAAGAACAATCACTTTCCAATCCATGTAGCATTCAAATATTCAAACTCATTTTGCTCCTTTCCTATCCAGCGGTTTTTAACCCAAACAAATAATAGCTCCTTCTTCCATTAGACCATACGGCCTTCACCCCAAAATATTATGTAGCACTATTTTATACTATCTCTTTCCATTTGCCTTTCAAGAATGGAGGCCACGTATCAACATAAACATTTGGGATGTTGGGTCCGAACATGTCTTCGAGAATATCATTAAATTAGAATCAGCCCAACTCTTTCTCCCAATGCTCCGTCTCAAAAGGCTTGGTCCTATATATATATATATATATATATATATTTACAGCTCATGCGTTTAGTTTTAGCATTCAAATGCTTCTTGACCAGCAAAATCGAACAGCATCCTTCCCTCCTTAAGTCTGAAATTTTTCTTATTCAAAGCACGCACTCTTCGATCCCTCAATAACCACACAGAGCATATAAAATCAACATATTATAATCATACAACCAGAAAATAATTAATTATATTTAGACTTGTTAATCATCTATTACCCAAACCAGAAGCCATTTCCTTAAATGCTCAAACCCCTGTTTCAGAAACTTTAACCAGAGCAATCAACTGTGAAAAGCAAGTGCAGAAATCTCAAGCACAAACTTCATCCTAACCATTAACCACGTTTCTACAGCTTGACTGTCATGCTGTTCACTTTCTCCCTCAAAAACCAGATTTCATCTTCATCATCGTCTTGCAACACATGACCAAATAACAGAAAATAAATATGGAAGAAGATTCAGGAGACTCACCTTGTTTGATTTCCACTTTTAGATGAACCGATTCTCTCCTCTACTAGCCTTTCCCTTTCTTGATCTTTCTCAAACTCTCTCAGCTCTCCCTCTGTTTGCACTTCGAATGGCAGAGGAAACTAAGAAGGGAGAAGATATTAGGGTAGAATAAGTCGGTAAGGGGGTGTGGAATGACTATTATACCCTTTGGTCTTCATTTTCCCTTCAATTTGATCCTTCTCTATTTTTCTTGGATAATCAAATAATTCCAGAAATCAAACATGGATATTTTATATGAATTTTCTTCTTCTATTAGCTTCTTTAGTCCATAAAATAATTATCCTAAAAATCTCACCTAAAAAATTAGCCTCTAACTATTTTTCTTGAATATTCCAAGAAAATAGGTCCTAAATTCTTGAAATTAACTTTATAATTATTCAGACCATATTTTAAGGGTCTTAATCTCAACAATTTCTCTAAAAATTTCTCCTTCATCATGCTTTACTCAAATCCATAAAATTTGGGATATTACATATATCATAGCATCAAGATCATCTTAACTGGGAAATAGAATTTTCAAAAGCATGGTCTCATTCAGATCTTGACAATGTCAACTCTTTCTAAGAAAGGGGAAATTTTTCTCAAAGAAAATTAAAATGTATATGTCACTAGGGGATCAGACGTACTTCATTTTGAAGACAAGTTCTTTTAAGATTTGGATCATTTTCATAATATCATTCTTGAGCTTTGCACCCTGAAACACAGGGAAATCAAATAATATTTAATTACAAGATAAACCAATAATATCTGACCAATGAAACATAGAAAAACAAAAAGAAAGGTGCAAGCCACGCTTCCAATCATTTGAGTCGATCATTCTTTTTTCTCTTGTGAGAGTGTATACTTGATAAACGAATGCACCATCCCAAACACTACCTACTGTTTATATATTCACAACTTCATGAAACAAATATTCAAACAAATCAAACATTGTGAGTGTTTGCTGTCTGTAATTTAACCTATGATTAAAAGAAGTCTAAAGAGCAACCACTGTCATTTTATATGTGTATGTATGCATTGTAACTCAATATATACATAGAAGGTATCCTTAGATACGTTTCAAGAGGTGAGAAGAAAATAAAGGATTTATGTAGTGACTTACCAATCAAGGAAACAATTTAAGTTTTCTCCGAGGAGTTGAATTTATTTCTGTTTCCACATCATTGATAGTGACTTCTTCTTGCAGATCTTCTCCCTCACGGTATCTCTTTCTTCCATGAACAAATTGTTGAGAAAGGATTTCATTGTTTTCACTGGTACTGCTGCGATATTGTTGGATTGTTCTGAGCCATTCTTCTACATCTTCCTTGCGTGTCACTCGCCAGCCACACTTGCTTATTGTACGCTTGCCATGATCTCCGTAATCAGCTTTCACATCTAATTCCGCTTCACTGTCGGTGCGCATAATTCGTGTAGTGTAAAATACGACTTCAACCTTGTTGCAATCATCTGCAAAATTGATGGAGGGCAAGAACATGATCAAAATTTGATGGGAATGGCCTTCAAAAGAAACAGGCCATCCTATCTCTTTTTTGAAGAATTCATCTCCTGAAGCTTTACAAGTCATCTTAAGGTAAAGATCAAACGCATCATCAAGGCCCATATCTTGTAGAACAACGCAAAGAGAAGTTCCCCAACTTCCACTTGAACCATGAAAATCAGCGATATTTACTTCCATTGACACAATGGAATCAGCTTGTACAAAATCACCATTCTCAGTGTCATGAAAACTCTGATACGAGTTTTCTTCCTCAAAGGTTTGGACAACATGGTTATCTTGAAAGCCATCAATTTTATCAAGAACTTGAAAGTCTTGATTGTGGAACCATGATGGGATTTGACTTCCTAGAATCCACCAGATGCTACATCGTATGTTATTTGTGTCCACCACAGAAGCATTTGCAAAAGCAATGCACTTCAATAGCAACTCTGGAAATGACAAAGATTGCATTGACTGACATGCAACAGTATCTATACGTCGTAAATTTGGTGGAAGATTTGGCAAACACTTAAGCCTTGGGCAGTGACTCAAATGAAGAGTATGAAGATGCAAGAGGTTAGAGATACAATCAGCAGGTATATGTGTAAAATTGTTTCCTAACAGACCAAGTCTTTCCAATGATAATAAGCTATTAAGGTCCTTCGGAATTGAACCATCATTGAGATTACAACAACACATGTATAAATACTTCAATGAAGAAAGACGTGAGAATGAAGGAGGAAGTACGCAGTTATTAGTAGATGCATTGCCAAAATCATTTCTTCTTAGACTGAGAGTCTCCAATGATGTTAAACAACCAAGTTCATCTGGAATTGATCCAACTTTAAGGTTACAGTCATCTAAATGCAGTTCCTTCAAAGTTGCTACACTAGAAATGTAAGAAAGAGACGAGGAGATTGTGGAAGATCCATTATAAAACCCAAGTACCTCTTTAATCGAGGAAAATAAGCTGCTTACTAATGAATTGGATCTTGAACTTAGACTTTTACATCCTTTTAAATATAGTAGCTTCAAATCTTGTAGTCCGACAATGGATGAAGGTATTTCCCTTATAGCAGTTCCACTCAAATCAAGCTCCTCTAAACATTTATTTTCATCAATATTTTGTGGTAATGAGGAAAATTTTGAGCAACCTAAAATATTGAGAACTTTGAGGGATTTCAAATAACAAGTGGAACTTGGAAGACAAACAAGGTTTTTGCAATTTTCCACATCAAGAACCAACAAACTGGTCATATTTTCCCCAAATTCTGGAAGCTTTTTAACTTTGAGGCAGCCAGAAAGGATCAATTTCTCCAATGAATCCATCCCCATTCTACTTGGAAGAGCTTTAAGATTCTTGCAATCTTTCAAATCCAATAGAACAAGTTTCTTATGTTGTCCAAGTGATGGGTGAACTCCAGTGAGTTTTACGCAACCTTCAAGAATCAGATGCTCAAGGTTGGGTAGCATCCTGAGATCAGGAGTTCTTATGAAATCTTCAGAATAGCTTAAATCAATGAACTTCAACTTTTTTGATATCTGCCAAAAAAATAAAAGTGTAAATGGATTGGCTTTCCAAGAAAAAAGATTGAGCTATATTTAAAGAAAACAAAAACAAAAGTTCTTACTTGTGTACAGCCCCAAAGTTGCATGATCTTGCTATGATGCATTCTAAGGAGCACAAGTTCATCAAGTTGCGCACCATAAGGCAAAGATCTCAAAGGATAACCTTTCCATTCGAGAAATTTTAACGAACGGGGAAGAAATTCGAGACCTCGAGGAAGGTACACGTCACATAATATGATGAGTATTGTGAGGCTATGCATCATAGAGAACGCTTTAGGGTCCCAATTCGCTTCATATGGCATATGTGATTGATGATGTATAAGTTCTACCATATTAGTACCCTAGTAAACAAAAAAATTTCAATATTATATTGACAGCAAAGGATGAGGAATGATAATGATCAACACAAACTCTAAATCACAGAAACTTTAATGCTTATGTAAATAAAAGGTACTTACATTGTTTTTTGACATCACATAATCAATATCTTCCAGTGACCATAACCTGCTACGTCTACTAGCATCATTAAGTGATTCCTCAATAACAATACTTCTGCCCAAATTTTGAAGGATATCATGCATACCCAAATGACATGCACCATCATTACTATAATATTCTTTTAACAAGCATTTCTCAACAAGTTCTCTTATTCCAAGTGTTGGAAAAAGATCACCACATATTTCGAATATTTGTACCACGTGGTCTTTGATCATTCCCTTAAAACAACAAGCAACATCTAAAAATATTTTCTTTTCTGTATCACTTAATGCATCATAATTGATTCTAAGTCTCTTCAGAATATTGCTCGGTGGAGACTTTTTAATTTTCTCCAAACCTTCTTTCCATTCAAGTTCACTTCTTCCACAAAAATAAGAACCCAACACTTCAAGAGTTAGAGGAAGGCCTTGAGCATGGTGGATAATGTCTTTGCACAACTTCCAATAACCTTCTATAGGTTCATCCCTTTTAAAAGCCTTCTTGCAGAAGAGTTGGAGAGATTCATCATCGTTTAACAATTCAGCCTCATAAATTTCAAATTCTCCATGCTCTACCAACACATGCATATTTTTAGTCGTCACAATTACTCTACTCCCAGGACCCAGCCAAGCTTGCTTTATACAGAGGTTCTCTAGTTGGTTTATTTCACTTACATCATCCAAGACAACAAGAACCTTTTTGTTGCATAGCATGTTTCTTATTATATTCTTCCCATCATATGTATCATCAACTTCCATGCCTTTTATCTTGAGTTTGTAGAAAAGTTTTCTTTGCAAAGAAACCAAACCCTTGGCTTCAGAGCTTTCTTTCACATCAGCAAGAAAACAACTGAGGTCAAATTGGTGAAAAATTCTCTCATAGACAATTCTTGCAAGAGTTGTCTTTCCAATACCAGGCATGCCCCATATTCCTATTAAGCGAACATCACAAAATCCAAGCTTTAAAAGTGAATTCACTTCTTCTACTCTTGATTCAATGCCAACGAGGTCATAGCTGTAACAACATAGTAATTTAGGTTGTAACTTTGCCCATACTTCTGCTATAATTTCTTCAATGAGTTTTGCTTCATGCCTGCACATAGAAAGGAATAATCAAACAGTTATTTTTATGTCCTAATCAAATTACTACCTAACTTTCACAGGGGCAAATTTAAGTTTTCATGATTTTCTGAACTTGGTGATCTACACAAATTAAAGAGCCGCCAGCACTAGAAATTTTAGCTCAGGAGGTCGGGAAAAATAAATGAAATATCCATGGCAGTAATGGTTTTTATAGCATATAACTACTTTATTAAATTACCATCAGAGGACAGATGTCAAAAATAAAGAAAGAACAGCAATGTATACATACGTGTGCACATGTATCTATACTAACTATGCATATGTGTATATATTATATAGATACATATACGTCTAATGACAACATTTCTTTTCTTTTCTTTTCTTTTTTTGTGAATTGCAATAAGGTCTCAAAGAAAAAAAATATATTCACAAAAAAAATCTTATAACAACTGAGCAGCTTATAATGATAAATTTTAAAGCAGAAACATCATAACAGGTTTTAGCTAATCACTTGTCATTAGTACTTTTAAGTAATTATCTTCTTGATGTATGAAGGAGGGAATTTGCCAAAGGTAGCCATAGGGTGCGAAGACCTGTTGCCTTTTACGGTAACATTGGAATAGGTATAATTTTGAAAATCTTGCCTATAATTTAAAGTTACCTTTAGCTACATTTTTTAACGAGTGACATAAAGTAAAAAAATATTGTAGCGTCACCAAGTGTGTCTATACACGTATAACTCTATCCATGCTCTTACTATCAAGTGACCTGGGACTGAAAACATTGTCATTGTATATTGGGAAAATTTCATTTTAAACCACTGTAGCTAATTAATATCAGTTAATCCTCAAAACATTAAAAATTTCAGCTCACCCCATTGGACCAAAATGAAATTAAAATTTAAAGGTAAAAATACAATAATGCTCTTCTTTTTGAAAAAAAAAATAAATTGTTGTGGGAACTTCAGCCATTAGAACTCTAACCTCCAGAGCTGGCCACCTGAGCATCGGTGGGCGAAACCTTTGACCTCCGATGGCTAGAGGATTTTTTTCCCCCCCCCCCAAAAGTAAGATGGTTAAGGGAGGTTTTCAACCCATAACCCCTTGGTACATCAAAAATAATATGATCACCAAGCCAACCAAGCTACTTGGTCATATGATGCACAAAAATATATATAACAAAAAAAAATTACAACTGTTCAAGCGTAAATGAGTAAGTGAAATTAGGGGATTTACGACAAAAATTCAACTATTTACAACAAAAATTTGATGATTCACAAGAAATATAGGAGAATTCATAACCCCAAATACAAGTGTTTAGGTGTGAATGAGCAAATGAAATTTGATGATTTACAACAAAGATTTAGCAATTTACAACCGAAATTTAGCGATTTACAGAAAATATGAATGCTTATATTTGAGGTTATGAATTCTCTTATAAGTTTTGTAACATTTATGTTTCTTGTGAATCGCTAAATTTTTATTGTAAATCACTGAATTTTTATTATAAATCTATGAATTTCACTTATTCATTCCCACTTAAACACTTAAATTTGGGGTTACAAATTCTCTCATATTTCTTATAAATCGTCAAATTTTTATTGTAAATAGCTGAATTTGTTGTGTAAATATCTAAATTTCACTTGCTTATTCACAGTTAAACACTTGCATTTAAGGTTGTGAATTTCTTATTTTTTGTAAATCGTTGAATTTTTGTTGTAAATCTCTTAATTTTAGTTGTAAATCTTTGAATTTTACTTGCTTATTTACACTTGGATACTTGCATTTATTTTGTTATATACTCTGTCCCTTATCATAAGATCATTTTAATTAAATTGCGTAGTTTAAGAAAATAGTTAAAAGCAATTAAGACGTAGCAAATGCAATTTTTTTCCAAATATACCCCTATATGTAAATGGGTAAATGTGAGAGAGTAATAGTAAGATAAGTGAAGAAAGAGAATGTATTAAATACATTAAATTAGGGGTAAAATAGGTAATAATACATTAAATGCTCAGACAAACTCAAAGAGGATCTTATAAAAAGGGATAGACCCATTCAAAAAATTAGATTTTATAATAAAGAACGGAGAGAGTATATTTTTCTTTACATCATATAATTAAGTGGCTTAGTTGGCTTGGTAGTTGTATTAATTTTAATGTACCAAGAGGTCCTGGGTTCAAATCCTTCTCTAACCACCTTATTTTTTTAAAAAAAAAAAATCCTCCCGCCATTGGAGCTCCAGTGGCCGGCACCAGAGATTGAAGGTCTAGCCACCAGAGCTCAAGTGGTCGACATCGGAGGTCGAAGTTCCAATGGCAAAAGCTTCGGTGACAATTAATATTTACTTTTTTTAAAAAAAAAAAGGACGGCTATTATTGTATTTTACCCTTAAATTTTAATTTCTTTTTTTTTTTTTGGACCAGAGACTGATGGGAAAACCACCTAACGCGGGTGGTACCCAATAGCCCGAATGTCCTACTTAACTACACCTAAACACACACTCACCCATCCGATGTGGGGCTTGAGAGTGAACCCACAAGGGACCCCCCAAGACCACTACACCTCGGTTCTTCCTAAATTTTAATTTTATTTTGGTTCAAGGGGTTGAGTGAAATTTTAAAATATTTCAGGGATTGACTGATATTAATTAGCTATAGTAGTCCTAAAATGAAATTTTTTTCTTGTATATTTCATCCATTCTTCTCTGTAAAAATATACATTTAGTTCTTTAATTTTATACAATGTTTTAATTTAGTCTTTTAATTTTAAAAAGTATATTTTAGTTTTTTAACCTTAAAATTTTTAGTGTTAAATGATGATTTTTGTAACAATCATGATTGTCTTAAAAACTAAACTCAATGTGTTAGCACTTGATAATGTTTTATTAACATCAAGATTTTATTATCATCATTTATTTTTCATTTTGTTCCGCCTATTGATAAGCTGCCCTATTCTCCTTGATGCGACTAATTATATGTTCATTAAGTAATCAATTATTTTAATAGTCAAAATAATTGAATGGTAATCAATTAAAATATTTAATTTTTTAATTAGAATTTCAAACTTTGAATTTAAGCATATGAAAGTTATTTTAATTGGGTAATTATGAAACAGTCAAAACAACTTCAAGAGGCCAATAACAAGGTTTTTTCTTTTTTGGGTGACGAGAAGCCAATAATAAGGTTTGAACTATCAAGAAAAACTTTTGTGAGGAAAAAGGGCCCCGCTCGCGCACACAATTACTCTTCTACCCTACTTGGATTGGTGTATTTGCTGCCAAACTATAATTGAACTGAAGTCCAGAATATGACTCCATTCAGCAGTAGCATAAGAAACGATTTAGAAGACGGAATTATCAAAAGTTATGAGATTTAACACCACTGTTAAAAATTACTTCAAGAATAATATTACTCTCTCCAATTCTAAATATTAGAATTAGTAAAGGGACTTGCTTTGGTCCTATATTTAATAACTCAATCCACATTGTTTTCTAAATTTATAATTTTTGTCCTAAACTTTCTCTACCAATTACACATAATAGTGGGATTTTCTGTGAAAGGAGTAATTTTCAATGCAAATAATTAAAAGATGTATTTTTGGAAAACATTAAACATTTTTTACAAATAATAAACTTAACTAATTTTGTTAATTTCTACAAATTAGTTATCTCGCTCTTATATTTAGGATTGGAGAAAATACCATTAAGTAACTAGTAACTAGTAATTCTATGTCGAGCTGTTAAGAGCCCTATCACAACAATACTATACGAGACTTACCGATCTGTAGAGTCATAGCCAGATATATTTGCAACTTCTTTTAAGGCATCCCTCCATCTTCGCAGCTTCTTTCTAGCAAATCTCTCACCATGGTTTTGAAGGGCACAACCAAAGGTACCTCTTTGATGACGCACATCAGATGGATGAATGTCATAAAATATTGGGATAACTTCTCTGCCCAAAGTTTTTTTAGATTGAAGTATCCTTTCAAGTTCATCCAAACACCAACTGGAAGAAGCATAACTTTGAGAGAGAACAACAAGAGAGATGAGAGATTCATCAATTGCTTGGAGGAGTTGATCAGAGATAACCTCTCCTCTGTTGAGCCCATCATCTAAGAAAGTTATGATACCCTTTTGTTTTAGAGCAGCATGCAAATGGTCTGTGAAGCCTTTTCTGGTGTCTTCTCCCCTGAAGCTCAAGAAAACATGATACTTCCATGGTGGGATTGTGGAGTTCATGGAAGATGAAAGTTAGATAGCGTCAGCAATAGAAAGGACTGGGATTAATATCACAAAAAGGAAGGAGAGAGTGAAGGAGAACAGATGGAGATTTATTAAATTGCATCTTCGATCTCATTGTGGATTAATATACTTGCTTGAAACTTTCAACATTTTGTCCCGTTGGGATAGTGACTGTGATTGCGAAATGACCTTTTTAATATAGTTGCCCCTTTTTTTGGGTTTTCAAATTATATTTCTCTGTGAATCAGTGTCGATCAGAAATTAAAATTACAAAATCGATGCCCTTCTTAGCTCTTTCGTTAAAGAAGCCGAATGTCATCTCATATCATATCATATTTTAATAAAAGGTGGAGAAATTAAATATAATGGACAAAAACATGGAAAACTACGACGGGTGCCTTTCCTCTAAATTTAATCTCAACTACTAATTTGTTATATCTATGCAAGATTGATCTTATTCTCATAAATATACATATAACAATAATGAGACATTTAATTAATATTTCAATGACTGAGATTGATATTAAAGGAAAAGAATATAATGCTTTTATTTACGGGAAAGCATATGAAATCACAGTATCAAACAATCGTGAAAAATTGTCCAGTTCATTCCACAAATAAAATACTCACAGGTCAAACCATATTCTTCACCACTTGAAAACAGTAAAAAAAAAAAAAAAAGCACAAATCACTGCGAAGTGCTTCAACCAAATTGGCACCAACAAGCGTTGGACCTCCCACTTGCAGAGTGAACCATATTACAAAAGAGAATGTATATAAGTTTCTTTTGCTAGCACTAGCATATTTATATGGACAAGGTTCTCAGCACAAAAATTAGATTAATACGTTATTTGCAAGATTCATCATCCCATGGACAAACAAAAGGCAACATGAAACCCTGTACATATAACGTGTGAAAATATATTTAATATATGAATTATACATATACACATATATTACTACCTCTCATCTTTAATATAAAAACTAGTTGACTAATTTAGGTAGATGAAAGACATTAGTTAAGTTAGTTATTTATAATAAATAGATACTGTCTTCCCTAAAATACTACTGCTAATCATATGTATTAGCTAGAATTATCATGTAACAAAACATTTAACATGTGCAACTATTACAAGGATTACCTTGAGAAAAATAACTAAATATGAGAAACAAAGTGAATTTAAGTCTTATATTCAGGACCAAATTAAAAATCAACACAGATGTCACAAAAAAACCCACTATAACATGTAATGTATTTTCTTTAATTTACTATCAAAATCAATATCAAATCCTGTTCTTGTCTAACAAAATTTTCTTTCAAAATTTTCACTATAATATTAAGACAACAACAACAAGCCTTATCCTACTAGGTGGGGTTGGCTACATGAATCACACGACGCCATTGCTCTATCAACAACCCAGTCTTTAGATATGTTGTTGACTAGGAGGTCTCGTTGAATGACCTCATTAAGTGTTCTCCTTAGTCTTCCTCTGTTCCTTTTTATAGGACTCCATCTTGTCTAATCCACCCTCCTCACCGGGGCCTCCAATGGCCTTCTCTACACATGTCCAAACCATCTTAAGCGATTTTCAACCATTTTCTCTTGGATAGGTGCCACATCGACTCTTGCTCTAATATTTTCATTTCGAATTCTATCTTTTCTTGTATGACCACACATCCATATCAACATCCTCATTTCTGCTACCCCGACTTTGTGCTCTTGTTTTTCCTTTATTGCCCAACATTCACTACCATACAACATAGCTGGTCTTATAACAGTCTGATAAAATTTTCCTTTAAGTTTCTCAGGTACCTTCTTATCGCAAATAACTCCGGTAGCTTTCCTCCACTTTAACCAGCCAGTTTGTATTCTATGAGAAACATCTCCATCAATTTCCCCATCTTCCTATATAATGGATCCCAGGTATTTAAACTTTGATACTTGAGGAATGATTTGCTCCCCCATCTTCACCTCCAAATCCCCATTGCCTTGCCTCCCCCTAAAATCACAATGTATATATTCTGTTTTGTTCCTCCTCAAGCGGAAACCTTTCGACTCCAAAGTCCTTCTCCATAACTCCAATCTAGTCTTAATCTCTTCTTTTGATTCTGCCATGAGAACTATATCATCCGCGAAAAGCATGGACTCAGGGATTCTTGATGTAGGCCAATCTAAATAGGAAAGTCCTTTGTCTCACCTCCAGGCGTCCTTACACTAGTAGTTACCCCCTCATACATATCTTGTATGGCTTTGATATAAACAACCCGTACACTTTTCTTTTCCAAAGCCTTCCACATTACTTCTCTTGGCACACGATCATAAGCCTTTTCCAGGTCAATAAAAACCATATTAAGTCCCTTCTTTTACTTCTATATCTTTCCATTAACCCCTTTAGTAAATAGATTGCTCCCGATGTGGATCTCCCTGGCATAAATCCAAATTGGTTTTCCGAAATAGAAGTCTCCAGCCTCAACCTATATTCCATCACTTTTTCCCACTACTTCATTGTATGACTCATAAGTTTTATCCCTCTATAGCTTGCACAGTTTTGAATGTCTCCTTTATTCTTGTAAATAGGAACTAAAATGTTTCTCCTCCAATCATCCTGCATATTCTTAGAGCGTAAAATTTCATTAAAAAGCTTGGTTAGCCACACCTCACCCTCATCGCCCAAACATTTCCAAACTTCAATAGGGATACCATCAGGCCCAACGGCTTTTCTATTGTCCATTTTCTTGAGAGCTGCCTTAACCTCTCCAATACGGATCCTGCGATAGAAAGCCAAATTCCGATCATTTTCGTTAATTAGCAAGTCCTGTAAGTCCTGAGTCACATAATTGCTTCCCTCATTAAACAACTTGTAAAAGTAAGCCTCCCATGTGTCCTTAATATCACCATCAGTAACTAACACTTTACCATCTTCATCCTTTATACACTTTACTTGGTCCAAATCTCTCTTTTTCCTCTCCCTTTGCTTCGCAATCTTGTAAATATTTCTTTCTCCTGTCTTTGTTCCTAACTCCTGATAAAACCCTTCATAAGCTTTAGTACGTGCTTCGCTCGCTGCTCTCTTCATCTCTTTTTTAGCCAACTAATACTTTTTCCGGTTTTCTACACTATTGCACAAGTGTATGGCCTTAAAACAATCTCTTTTCTGTTTGACTTTCTCCTGCACACTCTTATCTCACCACCAAGTCTCCTTATCTCTCTGACCAGGGCCTTTGGATTCTCTCAAAATTGCTTTAGCTACCAAACGAACCCTTGTAGCTATCTCTTTCCACATCATGTTTGCATTTCCTTGCGACTCCCAAATCCCTTCCTCCAAAAGGGTCCTTTTGAATAACTCCCGCTTCTCACCCTGCCACCACTCCCGCTTCTTATAGGATATAACATTAAATTTAGTTGATAATACATAAACCTTAACTAAATAGCAATTTCAATGATATCCAAGCAAACATAAACAAAAGTCTGTCATTCTTCTTTTCCATACATGCTTCCAAGTACAACAAATACCATGTTCACCGTACTACCTTACAACTCATTTATAGCTCCTCTTTCTTGTAGGCTTTTTACTCAACACTTTGCATGCACTCATCTAGCACGCTTCAAGGATATTCATTTTACTATCATAACACATACCATCTATAAATTAATTTCTATCTAACCATCAAATTGAAAACAGTTACCCAAGCATCACATGGAAAGAATACCATAGCTTTCCAACACCATTTTATAACAAAACTTTCAATTTTTTTTTAACCCATAAACAAGATTTAAGTCATAATCAACACAAAACAAAACCAAAGTTCTCTTCCCCCATCAAAATAGCATAAATAACAACTTTTAAATAATTTTTTGTTTTAAAAATAATTTTTTATTTTTAAAAACAAAAAATAAAAAAACTTGTTTGATAATTTATTTTTAATTGATTATTTTAAAAAATAAAAAATAGTAACATATTTTTAAAAACTAAAACAACTTTTAAATATTTTCTTGTTTTTGTTTTTGTGGTTTTTATTTTTTGTTTTAAAAAATTTTGAGAAATCTTCTTCTCTTTTAACCTGCTATCCACCACTTATTATTAGTAACGATAACTATCATCTACCAAATATGATTTTCTATAGTTTTTTTTTAAATATAATTTTTTTTAAATTATTATCCAAACATTTTTTTTTGTTTTCAAAACTTGTTCTAAAAAATAATTTTATAAAATTGTTTTAAGAACAACAAAATGAAGAACAAAAACAAACAGGCCTTAGGTTTAGTTTGGTTTCTTATTTTGAAAATAGTTTTTTGTTTTTAAAAAAAATAAAAAACTTGTTTGGTAATTTGCTTTTAATTAAGGGTTTTTTAAAACAAAAAAAATTAAAAAAAATTTTAAAAATTAAAAAACCAAAACAATTGTAAGTTGTTTTCTTGTTTTTGTTTTTACATTTCTTATTTTTTGTTTGAGAAAATTGGGACATCCTTCTTTCTATGCTCGGTGACTTTTTCTCCATTTAAAAACTTAAGTTCTAATCGAAACTTCACCCACTGGTCTCAGTATGTTTATTTTAAAATACAATTTTTTAGAATAATCATCCAAACAGATATTTTTTGTTTTTTTGTTTTCAAACTTGTTTTAAAAAATCAATTTTATAAAATTATTTTGAGAACAAAAAACACAAAACAAAAACAAATAGGCCCATATTTCTTTTTTGTTTTCCCTTCTCTTTGTTAGAAGGGCATTGTAGTGATTTTGTGAGTGTTAAACAAAATAAAAATAACCCTTTTGGCAAAGCACAGATTCGAGATCAGTATCCCAAAGATAAGCACCACCACTTTTGAATTTTCATCTTATATAAATGATTAAAATATTCATGTAGAGTGAAATAATCATTTTATTTTAATTTCATGCCCATTAGACCCATTGTAGATACCAATTTCTTCTCCTCTTTTGTTTTAT